AGGGGTGCTGGAGGGCTGGCGGGGCGGGGCCTGCATGCCCCCAGGGGGGCTCAGGCCTCGCCCCCCTCAACACTGCTATAATCCATTACAATATAGGAAAATGAGAGTACGTCTAGACTACAGATACTGTCGGCAAAGCTTCTGGCGACAAAGAGGGGCTAGACTACGTCCAGTTCTGTCGACAAAGCAAGCCGCTTTGTCAACGTGACAGTGTAGACGCAAAGGACAGTGTAGATGCAATTACGTCTTCTGTCGACAGAACCCTGTCGACAAACGGCGTTATTCCTCATAGAATGAGGTTTACAGCCTTCGACAAAACTGCTGAGTTCTGTCAACGTTATGTCGACAGAACTCAGCGGCACTGCAGATGCAGGTATAAACCCTGTAGTCTAGACATACCCTGAGGAGCAATCTAGGTTAGCAAGTGGGCCGCCGGAGTGGCCCTCATTCATTTCAATGGGCTGCAAGATTGTTGTAACCAAGGTGGTCTCTCGGGGTAAGGTAGCTTTACAAACTGCCCTGACGTCCCTAGAATTTGCGAGGTGTCCCAAATGAACTGTAGCGGCACTTTGACTGGATGCAGAGGGAGCACACGGCTCTCTCAATCACTATTGTGTGCAATCAGCATGCACCTCACCTCACATGCCCTTGCTTTACGTGTGTGTCACTTTGGTAACACTGGTAGGAAAATAACTACGCAGATGAAAACCAGCAGAATCTGGTAACCTGTGCCTAGGGCACACATAGAACCCCAATGTGCCCCAGTTTGCCCACCATTGCTTCAGGCTTTTTTTTTTTTTTTGGCTTTAGGAATATGTTAAATGTGACAAAAGATCAAAATATATCAGCAAAGTTGAAACGGTTGGATCAATTATTTAGCATTGAGGGTTTTATCCCCCAAAGCCAGACCCTAGAGGTACAAGTATTTAGGCCTCAAATTAACTTGATTCCAAAAGACGCAGCATTTAAGTGAGATCCACTGGTTTATTGGAAAGGTAGATGGTGCGATAGGGAGTTTTGGCAATGCAAAAATAGTTCCAGCTCAAGTATAAGAGGAGAGAGATGGTTTATTGATGCTGTACCAGCAGAATTCTTGCACATGTGTTTACACAGACTTACATCGCCATCGCTGCAAGCTAATGCTCTGAAGTTTCAGATGTGGAGAGGCAAAGGACTGTTTGCTACTTATTTAGGATTCTGGCAACTGGAACAAGTTGCTGTGCTTCTTGCAAGAGTGTCAATAAAAAGGGGGCAATTTTTTTAAGGAGGTTGCAGCTGTACAACTTCATTTGTAATTATGTTTATCCCAGTTCAAGTGAAAACAAAGAATCTCCACTTCAAACTGCAAAGCCAATAGCTCACTGCAAGAGTTAATCCAAAACTAGCAAAATATGGATGGGGTAATTTGTTCTGATTTATGCCTCTTCCTTATTGCTCAAATAACCTTCCTCTTTTCAGATTCTGGAGTGAGCCCAGGAGCACAGAAACTCTTATCCATTAGAACTTGGATTTATTCCATGGAGAGAAACCATTGGGTCATTTTACTCACACTATAGTAAGTATCCATGGCCTTCTTGTTTGAATAATGGGAAAAGGAAGATTTTACTGACAGATGTTTGTGGGGCACTGAGTGCATTAACTTTTTTTTTTTTTTTTGGATAATGCACAACGATGATGAAGAATAGAAGAGAGTGGTTCAGTATGAACACACACCTCAGTCCAAACTGGATCTGGTCAAATGAAAGCATAGCCCAACCACTCTGCAGCATCTAGGGTGCAGGCAATGCTGTCTAACTCAGATGCCAAGTCATCCATTTAGGAAAAAAGCATCCATCGCTTATGGAAGCAGGTTTGCTGCCTGAAGCTGAATTTTTAAAGCAGCAAACTCTTCTTAACACTGGTGCATAAACAAAGGGCATTTGTCTAAAGGAAGCAGCTGCACACTTTTATCACAGTGAAGTTCCCACAGGAAAAGTCAATGTGAGCAGCACTGAGGCAGAGAATCACAGTTTCCAAATTCAAGGGCAACATTTCATTTAAGAACAACCTCAGAGGCCTTGCACTTTCCAAACAGTGATTGTTTCTTCTGAAGTTCAGCCTGTGGCACAAGTTCTGCTAATGCACTGGAGTTTTACATGAAAACCATACCAGCTGGCATCCATGTCACCAGTGTTTTTGTTGTGTCACCATCCTGACCATTTTCAACGCCATGTCCCCTTGATCAGCTATTGCTCTGCAGAAGCAGATTGCTCTAGATGTTTCATAGTCACACATACTTAGTTTGCTGTCTAGGACCGCCTTCCAACCTGCTCCATGATATTAGTGCATTATGCAAAGTACTCTTGAATGATAATTGCAATCCGGTAAAAAGGGGGAAACAGAGACAACATTCCCAAGGTCAAATAGCAATCTGTCAGAGCCAGGAAGAGAAAACAGGCCTCCTAACTCCCAGTCTTATGCCTTAAACAGAAGCCAATCTTCCTTCCAAGCAGTAAGAGCTGACAACATTAGAGGCAAATTCTAGGTGCCTCCAGCAGATATTCAGCTATGTGAATGCCCCAGCCTAGATGCAAGCTTAGGCTATTGTTCTAGGACAGTGGTTCTCAAAGTGTGGTCCAAGGACCTCTAGTAGTGCACCACCATCTTGCAGGTGGGTTGTGGGCTTGAAGCTCATCACCCCCCACCCCACCCCATCCAACCCCACCCCCTCCTGTTGGGGGGAGCCCATGCTGGTGGTCCAGCCCCACACTCCCCCCACCCCTGCAAACCTAAAGAGCCAGCACTGGCTCCCTGCTGCAGGGAGGGAGGGAGCCTTATGGGCCAGGGCCAGCTTGCCCGGGGGAGGAAGCAATGCCATGTGCTGCCGCTCCTCCTCCCTCCAGCTGAAGGAACTCACCTAGAGGCTTTCCCTGCTGTTCCCATTGGCTGGGATCCCGGCCAATGGGAGTAGCACGGGGTGATGCCTGGGGGTATGGGGCCAGGGTGGTGCCCCCCTTATCATACCCTGTACCCCCATTGCACTTTCACACACACACACCCTCCCACCAAGACCCTCCACCCACCCCCTGCTTCTGCATCCTCCCTTCTGACCGCACCCCCACCCTCAGCCCACTCCTGCACCTTCCCTGCCACTCAGATCTTGCACTTCCACTACCTTCTACACCCACCTTGTCATCATAGGTGGCTGGCTGGTGGTCCACAAAGATTTACATTGAGCAGGTTTTGAGAACTACTGTTCTAGAACTAGTGAAATTAAATGATGCAGTTTGGTGTTTGTTTTGTATCAAGGTTGCTGGCAGGAAGACACAAAGCCTAATTCTGATCTCATGCTAATTTTACTCCAGTGGGAGTAGCTTTACTGAAGATTACAGACATACTCCCGTTTAAAAACAAATGCCAGTGAAAGTATAATCAACTCTTCAGTCCCTTCCTTCTGCTTTTTAGTACTCCTACTGGTAACATTTCTGGAGGGGCATTAAGGGAGAAGGTGTATGGCTACGTCTACACTGGCATGATTTTCTGAAAATGCTTTTAATGGAAAAGTTTTCCGTTAAAAGCATTTTTGGAAAAGCACGTCTAGATTGGCAGGATGCTTTTCCGCAAAAGCACTTTTTGCGGAAAAGCGTCCGTGGCCAATCTAGACGCGGTTTTCCGCAAAAAAGCCCCGATCGCCATTTTCACGGAAAACACTACTGTGCTGTCTACACTGGCCCTTTTGCGCAAAAGTCTTTCGGAAAAAGACTTTTGCCCGAATGGGAGCAGCATAGTATTTCCACAAGATCACTGACGGTCTTACATGAGATTGTCAGTGTTCATGCGGAAATTCAAGCGGCCAGTGTAGACAGCTTGCAAGTTTTTCCGCAAAATCAAATGATTTTGCGGAAAAACTTGCCAGTCTAGACACAGCCTATATGTATTAAGGCTTTTCTGATAAGAAGAGAAAGAAATGGTGCAGCTATCAGCACATGAGGCTGGTGGTCACAAATATACAATTAAGACCTAAAAGCATCTAGTTATGGGAAATTCCACTGCAAGGCCAAGAAACAGAAGTGAATGAAGTAGCTATGTTCTGAAACTGTTTCCTGTTTCAGAAATGTGGGAAGCTGCTAAATACAGTTGGGTGGTCTTCCCTTAAGCAAGCTTCAATATGTGGGTTGAATTGGATTGTTGTATTTTGGAGTCTGCAAGGAAAGTGCAGTTAAGATTTACCCTCTGCCTATGGTTCTGGATTGTTGAATAGTACATAAAGATTCCATTTTCTTAATACAGTAGAAACATCCATTCTTCATAACGCAATGTAGATGGGTGAAATGCAGATTACTGCTCATTGCGTAAACAATTCAGAGAGACAAGATTCAATAAGGATCTGATTTTTCCATTACCTTGTTCAATGGTCAATTAAACCCCAGCAAAGTATTCAGTGTAAAATGCTACCATACCAGAAAGGTAGCATTTTACAATCTGTGCTCTACATAATGCATAGTCCTTTACACTAATAAAGAGAAATGGAGAATTAGTTCCATTAAGTCTCTTCAGGGGTATTATTCAAAGTCTGATTGTAAGCCAGATCTCCAATCCAGGAAGTTAATTAACCTTAAGAACATACACAAAAGGCTATATTGGCTCAGACCAAAGGTCCATCTAGCCCAGTATTCTGCCTTCCAACAGTGACAAATGCCAGATGCCCCAGAGGGAATGATTATTACCTGTTCTCTTCAAGTGATCGTCGCCTCTTGCCCGTTCCCAGCTCCTGACAAGAGAGGCTAGGGACACCATTCCTGTTCATACTGACTAATAGCCATTGATGGATCTGTCCTCCATGAACTTATCTAAATCTTTTTTGAACCCTGTTAAAAACCTGGCCTTCACAACAACCCTTAGCAAGGAGTTCCACAGGTTGACTGTGTGTTGTTTTAAACCTTTTGTTTGTTTTAAACCTGCTATTAATTTTATTTGGTGACCCCTAGTTATGGGAGCAAGTAAACAATGTTTCCTTATTTTCTTTCTCCACAACAGCCATGATTTTGTAGACCTCTATCATATCACTTACTAGTACCCTTACATAAGAACTAGGAGTCACCAAATGAAATTAATAGGCAGTATGTTTAAAACAAACAAAAGGTTTAAAACAACACACAGTCAACCTGTGGAACTCCTTGCTAAGGGTTGTTGTGAAGGCCAGGTTTTTAACAGGGTTCAAAAAAGATTTAGATAAGTTCATGGAGGACAGATCCATCAATGGCTATTAGACATGATGGTTAAGAATAGTGTCCCGAGCCTGTTGTCAGAAACTGGGAATGAGCAACAGGGGAGGGATCACTTGATTATTACCTGTTCTGTTCATTCCTTCTGGGGCATCTGGCATTTGTCACTGTCAGAAAACAGCATACTTGGTTAGATGGACTTTTGGTCTAGTGCAGTACGGCTGTTCTTATCAACATCCTGGTCAGGTGGTCAGTAATATACCCCTACTGTTATATTCATATTATTAGAGCACAGAATTACTATCCAGAAAGAGTCTATAGAACATTTTGGTTCATTTAAGATTTTCACTTCATTTGATTTTATGCTTTCTTTCACATCGTATCAGTCCCCCAACAGCATGACTTATTCTGTCCTTCCGATCTATTTGGTACCCTGGTATTACTGTGTCCCATTGATTAGCCTCATTCCACCAAATTTCTGTGATGCCTATTATATCAATATCCTCCTTTAATACATGGTCCTCTAGTTCGCGCATATTATTTTTTAGATTTCTAGGGTTTGTAGATACATATTGAACCTCTCTACTCTAGCACTTGCTGGTCCAGCAACATCCGTGGTCCAGCATGATTTTATTTAGCTGGATGTCCACTTATCATAGGTGTGGCCAAGTTTCCCGTGGTCCATTAAGTTTGTTACACTCCCCAGTCCTGGCTCTCAGTGTTCTGTGCTATTATTTAGCTCTAATTTACCCCAGGAAGCAGGGGAAGTGTTGGTAATGCTGCTAGGCAATATTGACCTCCCATTGTCCAGCAAATTCTCTGGTTTGGCACTGGTCAGGTCCCAAGGGCGCTGAACTACAGAGGTTCAACCTGTAAGCAGTTTAAAAACTTGTCACTACTTAGCTGTCTGTCATTACCTGATGTCATTAAATGTGACTCTTTCATTTGACTGCTTCTCACCTGATGCATTTTATCATCTTCATCCTCTCCTCTTTACTAGGACATAGAGAATCTCTAAGGCCATGTCTACACTAGTATGTATCTGTCCAATCCATGTGCCCCCCAGCACCTGTCAGCTTCCCCCCAGCCCTTAGTTTAAAAACTGCTCTGCAACCTTTAAGTGCCAGAAATCTGGTTCCATTTTGGTTTAGGTGGAACCTATCCTTCTTTTATAGGCTCCCACTTTCCCCAAAGTTTCCCCAGTTCCTAATAAATCTAAACCTCCTCCTCCTTACATTATCACCTCATTCACACATTGAGAACCTGCCATTCTGCCTGTCTACCTGGTCCTGTGTATGGAAGCATTTCAGAGCATGCTATCATTAAAGTTCTGAATTTCAGTCTCTTTCCTAGCAGTCTAAATTTTGCCTCCAGGACCTCTCTCCTATCCCTCCCTTTGTCATTAGTACCTACATGTACCATGACCACTAGCTCCTCCCCAGCACTACACCTGACACATATTGATAGACTTTAGAGATCTGTAACCTTCGCACCAGGCAGACAAAGCACCATGTGGTTCTCCCGGTCATCACAAACCCAGCTGTCTGTTTCTAATGACTGAATCCCCTAAATACTTAAACCTGTCTTTTCCTAAAACTGGAGTTCCCTCCTCTGGAGAGGTATCCTCAGTGCGAGAGGATACCACAACATCATGTGGAAGGAGGGTTCCATCTTTGGGATCATTTCCCTCTGCTCCAGTTGGATGTTCTGGAAGAGACCCTAAAAGGCCATCAAGTCCAGCCCCCTGCCAAAGGCAGGACCAATCCCAATTAAATCAACCCAGCCAGGGCTTTGTCAAGCTGGGACATAAACACCTCTAGGGATGGAGACTCCGCTACTTCCCTAAGTAACCCATTCCAGTGCTTCACCACCCTCCTAGTGAAATAGTTTTTCCTAATATCCAACCTTGACCTCTCCCACCGCAACTTGAGACCATTGTTCCTTGTTCTGCCATCCATCACTACTGTGAACAGCCTTTCTCCAGCCTCTTTGGAATCTCCCTTCAGGAAGTTGAAGGCTGCTATCAAATCTCCCCTCACTCTTTTCTTCTGCAGACTCAACAGCCCCAACTCCCTCAGCCTCTCCTCGTAGGAAAATGTGGGAAAGCATTTAGCCATTTTATGCAGGCAAAGCAGGCAGATACAACTTGACAGATATTAGGTTTCTTTTCAGCAAATGTGCTATTTACCATGTGCCCAGCCTTGAGAATCCAGTAGAAAGCCAAGTTCTCATAGGACTTATAGAAAGCAGCTGTCTCAGTGGATTCTGGAGATACATATAGAGCCTTCCACCTCTGTTGGCTGAACTGCTTCAGTTTAGGCCATTTCAGTTTCCGAACCCATGCCTCCTGGCCTAAATTAGGGATAAAAGAATTATGTTTTATTATTATTTATAGTAAGGCAGCATCTCAAGGTCCCAAAAGAAATCAGGTGTCCCATTATTCTAGACACTATATGAACAAATATAAAGTGAGTATAGACAGTCACAAATTTGTGAATGTTCAGTAATTGTTTTTGTAACCAAAGAAGTTTTAATGAAATTTTTCAAAAGGATTTTCTTCACCAGGTGGCCAAAGTTTGGTGGAAATTCCAGAAGATGATCCAAAGGTTTTGATCAATTCTAAAAGTCGCAGACAGTCTGGCTCTGAGGGGCTCACAAGCTAGTAGACACAGAGTGAAGCAGCCTGTACTTGGTTACCTAGCAGGTTAATGGCACAGCTGGACACAAAACCCAAATCTCTTGAATGCCAGACCAGTGCCCTGCTCGTTGGACTACACTGCCTCTCCAGGGCACAAGCTTCACTCTTCAGATCACCTTGTGTCGGTATTCCAGCAATATTCAGATTCAAGCAAAAACGCAATGTGGAAAGGGAGATCTGGGAGAACTGGCAGCATTTGCGACTCCAACACATTTTCATTCCCTTTCCTGTACACCATCCTGAAGCTCTCCCTTCCTACACAGAACCTAATGAGGGATACCCTGGCAGGAAGGAACTCAAACAACCAAACTCAAAGTCTGGTAGCACTTTTATAGACTAACAAAACATATAGATGGTATCATGAGCTTTCATGGGCACAGCCCACTTTCTCAGATGACCGGAGTTATGAGTTTAAGACATCCAGACCCAAAATAAATAGGGGAGAAGGGGGGAGGAAACAAGAAGCAGAGGGACCACTGTTAGGTAGTTCCCACTACCATATACGCTTTGGCAAAATAAGCCTCGTTCTGGCTCTGAGCGTAAATATAAACACCACTCCCGCAAGTTGCTGGACTCACTAACTATCCTCAAGGTTGTAGGAACTAAGGCTGTTCAGCCTTTTGCAGGATCAAGTTGACAGTTTCCAACACAAGCACTCAGAGGCCACTTCACAGATTGGAAACAGCCATGACGAGGGCCCTTGATTTGCTGTTTGTTAGTCATTTAACCAAGAGAGTCAGAAAAGCCAACATTTGTTTCAAGAGCAAGCTAGGGAACATAAATATTGAGACAGCAAACAGTGAGGCCAGTTCCAACACACATAAAAAAAGCTATTGTTTTTAAAACCACTACTCTGTTACCCATTTATGCTGGAAAAGTGCAGTTTGATTCCCCTCCCCCGTCAAAATTAGCAGTTTGTGGCAATCCAAAGTGTCTTACCAGTTTTCCCATCCTAAATAAGATCTATGTACAGAATTATTGATTGCTGGGCTGTCCAGCAAAAGGAATGGAAACGGAAATATTTTGTGCCATATTTTCTTAGCTGTTAGGAGCGGAGACATTCCAGCAATAAAATTCCATACGACAGGAGAATTTTTGTCCAGCTCAGTACAGGAGACATCACACAGGAGAAAAAGGAAACAGAATGAAGACTGACGGATTTGCTACAGAGTGTGATGTTGCAGTGATCCACATTAGGTATCCCAAGTGCAAAGTCACAACTTTTGAGCAACTGCCAATATACACATTGAGCAAGCATGTGCTTTTGGATGGGTGTACATGTCCTGTAACACCATCCGCTCCAGACTAATCATTAGGCTCACTCATTGTGTCACTTCTGATGGTTTCTGTTGTGGTAATGCCGAGGCTTTGTCTACACTGAAGGGTTTTTGCGCAAGAAGCTTTTTGCAGAAGAGATCTTCCGCCACCACTTCCTGTGCAAAAGCGCGTCTACACCACAAAAGCACATTGCAAAAGCAATGTGCTTTTGCATAAGAGAGCTTCCACACTTCATGAATGCTCTTGCGCAAGAAAACCCTGATGGCCAATTGCAGAACTGCAAATTTGTGTATCTTTTTCTGCTTTTTTTCAAAAGAGGCTCTCCCGAAATTTGGCCCGTCTACACAGGGCTAAATTTTGGAAAAACCTCATCTTTCAGAACATCCCTTATTCCTAATACTGTGAGGAATACAGGGATGCTGAAATAATAGGTCTTCTTTTTTGGAAACTGTTCCGAAAAAGCAGATGCGTTCCTTGAATGCGGCATAGATTTTCCGGGATACCTCCGGTATCGCAGAAAAGCTCTGTGGTGTAGACATAGCCAGAGAATCAGAGCATCAGACCAGAAAGATAACTCAATTATTCATGCTTTGGGAAATGAGGGAATTTTTATTTGTGCTTTAAAATACCTAGCATGTAGTAAAAATAGCTAACAATAAAATACGCATCACAGGTTATACTGGTGACCTAGAAAGACATAAAGAGAAGACACAGAAGTAAATCAAATCCCCAATAATGGCCAGTGTCAGAGAGCAACAAAAACAGGATCTACCTCTGTTGTTGGCTTCATCACAGGAGTAGCAAGGTTTGTATTGCTGCTCTTGGCAGACTATAGTACATTGACATAGTTAGGAATTATGTCATACTATGTAATTCAAGAAGCTGGAGGTAAATAAGGAGATCAAATTCTTAGCGTGGAATGTATCTCCCAGCCCCTGTGATCGGAGGCCTAGCCCAGCATTTCCCTTAAACTTATTTTCTACTTCCGAATGCTGTTGCAAAGCAAGTTTCCAACAGTGAATCTTATTCCTCATGGATCGATGGTTAGCAGTGTCCTCAAGACTGAAGGTCAGATTCTGAGCCGCACATCTCAAAAGGCACAACTCAGAGCTGCAGCCATCCTCCAGTTTGGCTGGAGAGACAAAACCATCACTTTGTACCTCACAAAAGCTGGTTTAGTGTAGGGGCCTATTCACCTCAAATCATAAGTTAGGGCAACTCCTGGGGGATAACTATTTATAGGTTTACTTAGGGCATTTATTACTGTAGTACCATGAATT